GTGGCCCGACGCGGGGCATATAGGCCCACCCGGGGGCATATGGGCCCACCCGGGGGCATATGGGCCCACCCGGGGCATATGGGCCCACCCGGGGGCATATGGGCCCACCCGGGGGCATATGGGCCCACCCGGGGGCATATGGGCCCACCCGGGGGCATATGGGCCCACCCGGGGGCATATGGGCCCACCCGGGGGCATATGGGCCCACCCGGGGGCATATGGGCCCACCCGGGGGCATATGGGCCCACCCGGAGGCATATGGGCCCACCCGGGGGCATATGGGCCCACCCGGGGGCATATGGGCCCACCCGGGGGCATATGGGCCCACCCGAGGGCATATGGGCCCACCCGGGGGCATATGGGCCCACCCGAGGGCATAAGGAAGCTACGGGGCTATGTATGGGGTCTGGAAAGAGAACACAAACCCCCGTGGCCCACACGGACAGAGAGGTGCTAGTTAAGGCAGCACGTGTCCAGCAAGGACACATGCCCCAGGGAACATAGGCACTGGGCACATGCCGGGAATCACTGTAGGCGGTCCTGACTAGGATGCGGAACACAAAACACAAAAGGAAACCCCACCAGGGGTGAGGAAACAACTGTACCTTAGGGTGTCTGGTGCGAGGCAAGAGGTTCCGGCCATGTCGTACTACGAGGTCGATGGGCCCGCATCCACAGTGTCGGGCAGGCAGAGGTCCGGGGCCGTGGCAGCCGTGTTTAGGTCCATGTTGAGCTGGGAATCACTGTCCAAGTCCGTCGAAACCTCTTCGGTGCTGGGTGGCTGAGTCCACGTGTGTGGCAAGGCAAGGACGGCCGGCTGAGTTATCACTTAGTTGCTGAGTTGCCCCAAGTTTAAACAGACTAAGTCCACGTTGGACTGGCAAGCAGGCAGGTACACGTGGTGGCCTATGCTATAGGCCTGGAGGAGGCCTGTGGTCTCCTCCAAACAGCCTGTTGGACCAAGCTGTCACAAGTCAGGCCTGGCCCCAGGCTGAGCATGAGAAGTGAAGACTCCCAGAACCTCATCCAGGTACAATCCAGGGCCCTTAAATAAGGGAAATGGATTATTCACTGATGACATCTAAGAAATGAGGGAAATATCGAGGACACAATGACTGTTTTTAGTGATCCATTAAACACACGTAAATTGTTTAGCTTGCCAAATGATTTCTTCATGAATGTGACTGCGTGCACTCTGCACCAGGCCCTACATATCCTATGGAGACAGAACATACATACTGGTGTTATCCTAGTGCTGAAAACACTGAATATCGAGCCACTTCACACAAGGGGAAAAATTGCAGCACTTCCTATCACCCTGACAGATAATATAGACAGATAAAAATAACAACACCTCAAACCAATTCTATTTGCTGACGACACAACCTTCATTTACTCCAGTCCTGACCCCCTTGCTCTAAATGCCACAGTAAATACTGAGCTAAATAAAGTCCATCTTTGGCTAACTGCCAACAAACTCACCCTTAACATTGACAAAACTTTCTATATTCTGTTTGACAATAAATCCTCTAATCAAATAAATCTCAAAATAAACAATACCCAAATTTGTAACAAATTAGATGGCAAGTTCCTTAGCGTTCTCATTGATCACAAACTGAATTTCCAGGGACACATTCTAAATATATCAAAAAAAGTTTCAAAAACTGTTGGCATTCTTTCTAAGATCAGATATTATGTACCCCGCCCTGCCCTGGTGACTCTCTATTACTCCCTCATCTATCCATATCTCAACTATGGTATTTGTGCTTGGGGATCTACTACCCAAAATCATTTACGTCCTCTAATTACTCAACACAAAGCTGCTATTAGGACAATATCCAACTCTGGCCCCAGACATCACTCGGTACCCTTACTCAAATCTCTGAATATGCTAGATATTAAGTCACTGCACATTCTCTCATGTATATTATACATATATAAAACACTGAACTGTAATGCCAATCCTGACCTCAAAAGCTTCATAGAAGGTTGTAACAGAACCCATGAGCACCACACCAGAAATAAATACAGTTTTGATATTCCAAGAGTACGACTTAATCAAACTAGAAATGCTCTACAAATCAAGGGACCCAGAATGTGGAATGACCTTCCCAACCATGTTAAAGACTGTACCTCTCTCAACCAGTTTAAGTTAAAAACGAAGCTATACCTAATAAATTTCCTGTAACCTACCTTACCCCTCAATTGTCAACCCATGTCTGTTTTTTTTTATACAACGCTGTTTGTCGACCTAATTATATTTGTGCTGCTTTTTCAGCCATGTTCCCCCCTCTTTTATCTCTATTTTTATTTGTTCTCAACACATTTTATTCTTTATACCAAATTAGTATTAAGCTTTAGTCATTAATGTTTTACCTGCCCGAAACGCTTTGCGTAATAGTGGCTGTAGGCATTGTATGTACTAGCTCTATCTATAAATCCATCAATCTTTGTAAAATCTCTTGTATGTATGTACCTTACCTAAATAAACATTTATTTATTTATTTATTTATTTATTTATTTATTTATTTATTTATTTATTTATTTATTTATTTATTTATTTATTATTTATTAATATCTTTTGACATCCTGATGCCTGCTTATCTCACCAGGAAACTAATCACAACATTCATGCCTAGCCTGTTGCAAAGTTAAGTATCCTACAACACATACATAATCTGCAAACTGAAAGCAATATTACATAGACCATATACACGATGGATCACTCAAACAAATCCACATGGGCCGTGGGAGGGTTCGAACCTACGCATGGGATGTTCCCAGCTGCGCCTTAGTTGACTAAGTTGATACAGTTGGTACAGTTGACTAAGGCGCAGCTGGGAACGTCCCGTGCGTAGGTTCGAACCCTTGTCACGGCCCTTGTGGATTTGTTCATCTGATATATCATGCTATTGTGATTTGTGTGTATGGATCACTCAATTCAGTTACAAGGAGTGCTGGTATTGTTGAACAACCTGACGGCAGCATAATTAAAAGAATGTACCAGTAATAGTAATAGTTTGTAGATTAATCGTAAACAGCAGGCCTTCTTTACCTTATAATATCCAATAGTTTTTATTATTTTAGGTATTAAAACACTTTTTATTTTATTTTATTTTTATTTTTTGATTTACAGTACTTAATTTTATTTATTCAAGAGTTCTTAAATTCTTGTAAAGCCATTAGCATGCATAGAATTTCTGCAGGTCCTTAAATGTTAATTTTCCCCTTAATACGACCCGGGAATCGTTTAACAACAGGTACCCATTCACTGCTGGGTAAACAGAGGTATACAGTAAGGGATTGGCACCGAGTCAATTCTTTCTAGTCAGAATACGAACCCAGGCCAGATCGCTTGTGAAGTACGGGGCGAGTGTCTTACCACTGCACCACAGGCACTATATATCAGATGCTGAGGTCTGTTAAGAACTATTTTACCCCATCTAATACTTTTTTGTACTACCACTTATAGGATTAGTATGGGGTGGACAATAAACTAACCACCTCCATTGGCAACAGTCAAAACAAATCCATAAAAGCAGCCACAAATCGGATACTAAAAATATAGATTTAGCACTAACGTCACACTCAAAAACTTTGAAATCATGTTTATCAGATCACAAAACACATGCACTGTAATCACAATGACTGCATAACCCTGGGCAACATAAATTTAGACATTTCTGCTTCTCATAATTCCTAGACCAAGACATAGTCTTGGATGTCATGGGACTGCTTAAACCCTCACATATTAGAGGAATTGCTTCTAAATGTGCACACACAAATAATTTCTATAAGAGATTGGAAGACATTAGAATGTGTAAAATATTCCCATTGAAAAGAATGGGTGCAATAGGGCTATTACATATTCTGCCATGCCTCCTGGATAATTTAATAAACATTATATGCATCAAAACTTTTCAACAACTCTCTCTAAATACAAGGGGCATTGCTAACAGTCTCCTAATAATATTCAGGAGGGAATTTGATGAACACCTTCAAAGGGCACTTGGTCAACCAGGCTGTGGTTCTTATATCAAACTGCATACTGCAGTGTTCACCAAACCACCAACAAGGTCTGGTGGACACTGCAGTGGTGAAGACGTTTGAGCAGCAGTTATTTTTTTATCCAGAGTGCCATGTTTGTCTAGGATGCCATATTGATCTAGGGTGCCCTGTCTGTCAGTCCATAGTCCACCCTTTATCCAGGGTGCCATGTCTGTCGGTCTAGGACACCATGTTGCTCGGTTAAGGATGCTGTGTTTTGGTCCAGGGTGCTGTGGCTGTCGATCTAAGGTGCCATATAAGTCGGTCTAGGGTGCTTGTTCTGTAACTATAGTGTATTCAGAGTACTCGTTGACAGAGACCTGCTTAACTCTACTGAGTATCTCATCAACCTGCTTCCAACTGTTGCTATGTGACAGCACAGGGAACATAGGTGTCGACAACCTGCTTGTATTTCTTGGGGCACTGCTTGCATTATGGCACAATCGTATGTTGGTTCCCTTAGTATAGATGGCAGTGTGAAATCCACCATTCCTTTTGAGAATGTTACATCCAGAGAACAGTGCTACCTTACCTTGAGGTTACCTCCTTACCTTGAGAGAAAGGAAAGAGAACTTTCCTTGAAAAAATTGGTGCGTTTCACACATCAATGTATATGTATACCATATACCTCATCTGGGTTTTATCATTCATAATGGTAACATAAGAAAAAGAAACTGTAGAAGGCCTTTTGACTTTCACATTCTGTAAATATAATATTAAAATATCCAGTTTTATCTTTCCTTTCTATTGTTCTGGACTTGCAGAACATTTATAATAACAAAATAATTACTAAAATAATTATGTACTGTAATGCAGTATTGTTGATATCCTGAAATGTCCTGTTATCAGGGGATGCCTTCCTCGAGTTTCCTCATGTAATTACTCCACATATAGTAGTTTCATTATTTTTTATATTAAATACTGTAATCATTAACAAACTACAATTTTTTCAGAGGATGGAAGAAAAAAACGGAAACGAAAAACATCAGAAGTGGTGGAGACGCCCACGCCCTTGCCTCGAGTGCCAGCATCATCTCCATTGATCCGAGGGCCATCAAATTCAGCACAGATGACCCGAGGACCAGTAACACCATCACAGATGACCTGTGGTCCTCACAACGCTGTACATATGACCAGATTACCTTCACCTGCCCAGATGGTCTGTGGTACACCAACACCAACACAGATGCCACGAGGGGCACCCCCACCCTCACAGATGACGGCTCAGTTCAATCCTCAACAGCAGCAGCAACAGCAGCCGCAACAACAACAGCAGCAACAGCAGCAACAACATCCCCATGCATTCCAACAACAGCAGGTAAAATACTTGTCTTATTGCATATACTCTACATGTTTATGGAATGATGGCAATGTTTATCTTTGCTTAAAAAACTGCATCTTAAAATTAAATCTCTACTGTTCTGATCGAATACTAATGACCCGAAGTGGATAACAAAGGATCTGAAGAACCTTATAGGTAAAAAGAGAGCGTGGTACAAAAGGATTAAGAATGGGGAAGTCAGTTTAGAACAGGAATTTATACAACTGGTTAGAAATGTTAAAAAAAGAGAAGGAAAGCAAAACGAAGCTAGGAAGTTTGCATAGCAGGGCAAGCAAAGTCGAATCCTAAAGTTTTTTCAGTTGTATCAAACAAAGACTAGGAAAAGAATAGGTTTATTAAAAACTGAGACAGGTCAAATAACGGATAATGACGAGAAGATGAGTAGTATTTTTAATAAATATTTTATCTCTGTATTTACTAAAGAGGAATTTACCAATATGCCTTCAGCCGAACAAGTCTATGTGGGTGGGGATGAGGACAGGTTGACTAGTTTTGCAGTTACCAGGGAGGATGTAATTAAACAAATAGTAAAACTAAACCAAACTGTAGTGAGTAGATTATCTCAATAATATACAGTACTTCTGTAGCGAGTAGATTATCCCAATAATATACTCGCTCCAAAAGCATTAGCTTAATGAGAGAAACAAAGCTCTTCTTAGTACAACTTCCAGTCAAGAATGTAGCACTCGTCGTATGCAGTTCTAATCGACCCCAAGATACTACAGCTTCGACACAGAACAGATAGCAGACTAGGACTGCATCGAGCTACAACGCTCTCCCACATAGAGCTCCGCGACTCTGGCCTCACTCAACTCTCTGCTCTGCTCCAAGCTCCGTCTCAACATCTACGACACTGCTGTATCCAGGACTGCTAAATAAATATGAAACTCACTAAACACTGTGTATCTAATCTACCCAACAATGTAACGTTGTTGGGTAGATTAGATACAAAGCCTGGGTAGGTAGATATGGAGGAGAAGCTGTTACCCATGCAGCAGGTCCCCCCTCTCCATGTTGCTGAAATTATCCAATAGAAAGGCAAATGCCAATACACATGGTTCCAGCAACGTCGCAGGAGCTGCCAGAACGAGGTCAATGTCAACAATGAACTGCCTTAGGGGCTCCAACTCCGGATTTTTCCTCGAGGTTGACTCCTGAAGCCTTTCCCAAAAAAGAGGTATGGCCACAAGGCAGTGGAGGTTTAAAATCAGGGTTTTCCTTCCCCTAGATGGGCTGCCTTCCCAGGCTATCGAGTCCCATCTACCCGGAGCAGCTGGTTTTAAGGCGCCAGAGGCATGCCCTCGCCCCTTCTCCTGTCAGTAAAAGCAGTTCTGCCGGACTTAAAGACTAAGCCACCTGTGCAGGCCAGGAGTTGGATTTGGTTGTCAGAGGCTATTGGAGACACATGCCATATAGGAGCATTTTATAGATCATGGGAGCTCGTCCTCCATTACCACCCCCTGGCTATGACAACCCCTTGGATCCAAACTTAATATAGCACCCCCAATACCATGAGCCTCTATCTTTTTAATCAGTCTTTCATATGGCACTGTATCAAAAGCTTTGCTAAAGTCAAGATACACAACATCACAATCCTTACCACTATCAACTGCCTCAGCTATGCTGGAATAAAAAGATAGCAAATTTGTTAAACATAAACGGCCATTTGTAAAACCATGTTGGGACTCATTTATTAATTTATGTTTTTCAAGATGAAGATGAATTTTATTTGCAATTATCGATTCAAGTAACTTTCCCACAATAGACGTTAGGCTAATTGGCCGATAGTTTGACGCAAGTGATCTATCTCCTGTCTTAAAAATTGGTATCAAATTAGAAACCTTCCACGACTCTGGCACTCTGCCTGACTCTATTGATTTATTAAATATGTTAGACAGTGGGTCGCAAAGCTCCTCTTTGCATTCCTTAAGCACCCTGGCAAACACTTCATCCGGCCCTGGGGATTTGTTTGGTTTAAGTTTAATTATTTGTTTAATTACATCCTCCCTGGTAACTGCTAAACTAGTCAACCTGTCCTCGTCTCCACCCACGTAGACTTGTTCAGCTGAAGTGAACTTGAATTCACATTCAAGTGAATTTATATCCATTCTATAGTACGTGGACCAAAACTGAACTACATAATCTAAATAAAGCCTAACCAGAACAAGATATAGCTGAAGAACAACACCAGGTGTCTCGTTACTAACGCTTCAATTAATAAATCCCAGTGTCCTATTTGCTTTATTACGAACATTCATGCATTGATCCTTTGGTTTTAAATTCTTACTAATCATAACTCCCAGATCCCTTTCTCAATCCGACTTCGCAATCTCAACACCATCTAGCTCGTATCTTGCAACTCTATCATTATCATCTAACCTCAGAACTTTACATTTATCAGCATTAAACTGCATCTGCCAACCTTTTGACCATTTCAAAACCCTATTTAGATCAACTTGAAGTGATAGCGAGTTGTCTTCCATGTTAATTTCCCTACTGATTGTTGTATCATCGGCAAATTTGCAAATGTTGCTACTCAAACCTGAATATAAATCATTTATATATATTATAAACAACAGAGGTCCCAAGACAGAGCCTTGTGGCACTCCACTTACAACATTTTCCCACTCTGACTTAACCCCCATTTATACTAACTCTCTGTTTCCTTTGGTATAGCCATGCCCTAATCCAAATTAATATAGCACCCCCAATACCATGAGCCTCTATCTTATTAATCAGTCTATTATGTGGAACTGTATCAAAAGCTTTGCTAAAGTCAAGGCACACAACATCGCAAACCTTACCACTATCAACTGCCTAATATATGCTACACTTTCCAACTAACTTTAAGAATTACTTTTAAATGCATGGATGGTGAAATACTAAAGAAATTGCTCATGAATTTTGTTAGACCAAAATTTAAATATGCATCTGTTGTATGGCGCCTATATCTCAAAAAGAACATCAGTAAACTGGAAAGGATGCAAAGACGTGCTACTAGATGGCTTCTGGAATTGAATAATGAGCTACGAGAAGAGGCTAGAGATGTTAAATATGCCAAAGCTAATAGATAGAAGGAAAAGAGGCAGCATGATCACTACAGATAAAAGGTAACAGGAACTGTCAAAATAAACAGAGGAACATTTTTCAATATGCAGCGTCAAGACCAAGAGGTCACAGATTGAAGCTAAGAAAACAAAGGTGCCAAAAAAAATCTTAGAAAGTTCTTTTCTGCAAACAGAGTGGTAGATGGTTGGAGCAGTTAAGTGAGGTGGTGGTGGTCAAGACAGTTTCAAAGTGTCATGACAAAGTTTATTGGGAAAATGAGACACCACAGGCATTGCTTTCATTCTGTAACTATCCTTAGGTTACAGGATTAACCTTTCCAAGATAAAGAGACAAGTGGGGATTTCAAGAAAGGCACGTGATTCGGTACTGGAGTACCCGATGGACAGGAACCAAAGGGTCATTGTAGGAGAGGATATGTCTAGCTGGAGAGGAGTGGAAAGGGATGTTCATAGGTCCATTGCTTTTTCTAATTCATGTAAATGACATCCCAGAGGGAGTGAAATTGTACATGTTAATGTTTGCTAATGGTGCATAGTAAGTGAAGAGAGTAACAACTTCAGGAGAGGGCAGATAATTAGCTGCTGGAATTAAATTCAAATAAGTGTTAAGTAAGGAATTTGCATACGAGAGAGAGAGAGAAAGAAGACCCATATTTACCTATACCATGAAGGGAAGACAATTACAAGAAATAATAAGAGAAAAAGACCTGGGCGTGGATATGATTTCAACACTAACACCAGAAGCTCATGGAAAGAGGATAACATCAACATCATATGGGAAGTTTGCAAACATACGAACATCACTTAAGAATCAAAATAAGGAGGCTTTAAGTCTGTACGCACTGCTTGTGCAAGACCATTCCTTGAGTATGTGGCACCAGCATGGAACCTGCACCTTGTGAAGCACAAAAAGAAACTTGAGAAAGTTCAGAGGTTTGCAAGAACTAAGTACCGTCAATGCACTATTGAATATCAGGTTTGGTCAACAAATTGAGTACCAGAATTGAGAGACCTTAGCAGTGAGGACAGGTTGAGGGAAACTCTCACAACCTTAGAGGAGAAAAGAAACAGAAGGATTATGATCACAACATGCAAGATCCTGAGGGGAAATAGATAAAGTAGACAAAAAGATCCTATTTAACCCTTAGACCGTGCAATACATACATATATGATTTGACATAAAATAATTTAACATAGAGTTTTAAAACTTGCACAAACACTTTCCAATTTTTTTTGCAATAATCAACTAGGCAAATGCTCCAACTTTGTCTAAATGATCACAGCGTAACTTAAAAAACAAAAAAAAATAAAAATGAATTTTAAAATTGAATACTGAAAACTTCAGATTTTCAATTCAGAATGAAAAATATGAACTTTCACCAATTGTTCATTTAAAGTCCCTTGTGATCCCTTGTGATCCACAGGATCCCTTGTGATCCTGTGGTCCTGGGTTCGATCCCAGGCGCCAGTGAGAAACAATGGGCAAAGTTTCTTTCACCCTATACCCCCTGTTACCTAGCAGTAAAGTAGGTACCTGGGTGCTAGTCAGCTGTCACGGGCTGCTTCCTGGGGGTGGAGGCCTGGTCGAGGACCGGGCCGCGGGGACACTAAAAAAAAGCCCCGAAATCATCTCAAGAATCATCTCAAGGAAAGTTGTTATACTCTCAGAATAGCATATGGACTTCATTTTCATCAAATTAAAATATAGGTTTTCAGTACAGTTTACGGTAAAAAAAATCGTCAATAGGGCATTTGAAATATGCGACAAATTTACACCAAAACAAATTATAACTCAAAATGTATAAATTTTATGAAAAATCCATTCTGAAGGGATTGTAGAATAGACAGCTGAGCACACAATATGTCAAAATAGTGAGAATCGGTCAAAAACTGGAATTTTAGAAGCCA